CCTCAGTTTTGAGTCTTATATCATCAGACTATATTATTCTTCAAGGATTTTGGCTCCTGGCTCATGATTCTGTGGCATGCTCCTGTCCTAATTCTTAGTGATTCCTTATCCAAACTCTTCCAATGCCCAGCCTCTCCGTTTGTTGCCATGCACTCCTCTCCCCTGTGGTCTTGTCCTCTACTTTCCCTGTGCCACTAGATTCCATCATCACTCTGTCATAACTGACACACACACAACCCCAAGAATTTCCATCACATCTCTACCACTCTCTAACCCAGCTCACTCCCTTTCAAAGTTTCCGCAGGGACTAGAGATAACACAATACTGCACACCTAGTAGGTGCTTGTCAATGGGATGGCTCCACCAAGCACCAGCTGTGTGACCTTAGACAAGTTACTTAACTTCTCTGAGCCACAGACATGAAAGTGTGCTGTGAGAATAAATTGAAAGCACTGGGCACAGTGCCTGGCACATGGTAGGAGTCATTATTGATCAGCGTCATAGTCACTGGTGGTAGCAAATCTTCGTCTTCTGAAAGTAGATTTAATTTTAGAAAACAACTAAAATTCAGGTGGAATTGAGTCTGGTGACTATTGCCAGTGATCGAGCTGAGAAATGTCATTTTTAGACCAAAACAAAGTGTAATTATAAAGCCACAAGCTTGTTTTTCTTTGTGGAGAGGCTTGGTGTTCTGATGCCAGATCAGAAGGTATCAGAAGTTATGTGTGTTCCTGATCTGAATCTTATCCCTAAACTCACCCTCATTTTCACCAAAATCTTGACAGCCAATCCTAAACCCACCCACCCCTGACCCAAATCTAAACATTGACACCGCCTCTAGTTTTCCCACACGTGCTCACCACTTTGGCCCCTACCAAAACTCTGAAGTTCCTTTCTATTCTTTTCTGAGTTCCACTTTGCTACTTTCTGTTCCTATCATGATCTGGACCCAGACTAACTCTCAAAGGACTCAAAAAACATGTCATTACATCCAAAGTGTACAAAATTTGAATACATTCTCCTCAAAAGTAACTAAGTAGGGGGCTTCCCTGGTGGCGCAGCAGTTGAGAATCTGCCTGCCGATGCAGGGGACGCGGGTTCGAGCCTTGGTCTGGGAGGATCCCACATGCCGCCGAGCAGCTAGGCCCGTGAGCCACAACTGCTGAGCCTGCGCGTCTGGAGCCTGTGATCCGCAGCAAGAGAGGCCGCAACAGTGAGAGGCCCGCGCACCGCGATGAAGAGCGGTCCCAGGTCGCCACAACTAGAGAAAGCCCTCGCACAGAAATGAAGACCCAACACAGCCAAAAATAAATGAATAAATAAATAAATAAATATTAAAAAAAAAAAAAAGTAACTAAGTAGGGACTTCCCTGGTGGCCAGTGGTAAAGAATCCGCCTTGCAATGCAGGGGGCGAGGGTTAGAACCCTGGTCAGGGAACTAAGATCTCACATGCTGCGAGGCAGCTAAGCCCGCGTGCCACAGCTACTGAGCTCGCCCACCTCAACTAGAGCCTGCCTGCTGCAAACTACAGAGCCCATGCACTCTGGAGCCTGTGTACCACAACTAGATTAGAGAAAACCTGCCGCCCAACTAAGAGCCCGCGTGCTGCAATGAAAGATCCCCACGTGCCGCAACTAAGACCTGATGCAGCCAAAAAATAATAAAAATTAAAAAAAAAAGTAACTAAGTAAATGTGAAACTTTTTAACTAAAATTATTTTTCATGTGTTTTGAGAAGTGACTTTTCTTCTTATATATTCAAAATTATGTATTAAAATTTAAAGGGAAATATAGTTTACACTTAATAAATATCCAAAATTAATCAAATTTAAATGGTTTTTAGAAATTTTAATTCCATCTTATTAAACACTTTTAGAAAAACTGAACTGTTCTCAAAATAGCATCCAACTAGTTGCCAACATGAAGAATTGCTGCCATGCTTCACACGTCATGTCCAGACCTACATATGCACAAGTTTAAGTCATGTGAATTGTTCAATACTGTACAGTGTTCCTCAGCTGCCATGTGCAACTGTTATGAAGACAGTGCTGATTCATGAGACCCTTCAGAACATGAAAAGAAACAAGTAAATGGACACTTTGTTATGCAAGTATCTGTGATATCCATGCAACCCGAGAAGAGAGATATGAGAACTGCATTTACCTTTGCTTTCACTTAAAAGCTTCTGCTGCTCAAATCTTCCCCGCAGCTCCAAAGCAGTGTCCATCTCTGGCATTGGCCGAAGCTCAGCTGACACGCCTCCCACAGGCCGGTGCAGGAATCTTTGTTCTGAGAACAGTGGGCAAGAGATGTGGAGCAGTGTTCCCTGGGGCCTGAACAGTGTTAGGACGGGGATGTTTACGTTTACAGCCTGCTGAGCGCCAGGCACCCTGTGGTTCTTGGCATGGATTTGTTTGGGGGTGGACATTCTCCAGAACCCTCTGAAGGGCGGTTCTTAGGCAGGGTCACTCTTGTCCTGGTCGAGGGGACCCCACTGCTCCATGGTGCCGTGTTCTTTGCTGCTTGGAAACATTTGGCATAAGCTGTGCCTTTTACCTGGAACATTCTCTTTCCTAGTCTTTGAAATCCTTCAGGTCTCAGTTTAAAATTTCACTTCTCAGACAGCCTCATCTGTTCTCTATATCCAGACTGCCCCCCACCCAGCCCTGCTATTCTCACGGAACCCAGTTCTTTCCCTTCTTGGAATTTATTACAATTAATAATAATGAGAGCATTATAACTAATTTGTTTATTTATGGCTTTACCATCTGTCTTTCTCACAAGAATGGAAGCTCCATGAGGGCAGGGACCACATCTTTTTGTCCATTACTGTATAACCAGTACTGTTTGGCACAGAGTCAGTGCCCAGGAAATCCTTGTTGACTGACTCTCAGCTGTGAGTTTCCTTACTTTCATATCAGGGTTTTAGTGTCTGCCTTATAAATATCATCATGAGGGTGGAGAGAGAATGGGAACAAGGGCCTCATGCACGGTAGGTGGTCAATAAATGCTATTATGATTATTACACATTCAGAGTCAGATGAGGACCAAAGAATCTTGGAGGTTGGGACTTGAGGGCTATTTAGGGTTGGATGGGTTTCATGTAATAGGGATTCCAGGAGGGAGCAGCTTGAACAAAGGCATGAAGGAGAGAAAGTATAAAGGAAATAAGTAAACCTATGGGGCTGGATGGAGAGTAGGGTATGAAACAGCCCTGTAGTTAGAAAGGCAGATTGGGACCAGATCAGGGAGAGCCTTGAATGCCAACTCAGCACACTTAAACTTGATCGTAGGGACCCAATGACAATTTTTGAGCAAAGGTGTCAACAGAAGAAGTGGTATTTTAGGAAGATTAATTATGGCGCATCTGAATCAGGTGGACCAAGGAAGTGGCGAAAGACAAAAAGACTGTTTCATTCAAATTCCATCTCTAATCGTTTCGACTGTATGAAATATAAAAGGGTTAAGAACAAAAGCTCTGACAGGAGACAGAGCTGGTTTTCATCTGGCTGATACTGAGCAGGTCACTTCACCTCCCTGGGCCTCAGTTTCTCCACCTATAAAATGGAGATAATAATCTCTACCTCGCCTATCTCATTGGACTCTTGTCCAGTGAAAATCACATGAAATAAGGAATTCCCTGGTAGTCCAGTGGTTAGGATTCGGCGCTTTCACTGCCGAGGCCCAGGTTCAATCCCTGCTCCGGGAACTAAGATCCTGCAAGCCGCACAGCCAAAAAAAAAGAAAAACTGTGCTCATTAATTCACACATGAAAAAAAGGAACCCCAATCATGTGTCAAGTTGTGCTGTAAATGCTGAGGAGACAGAGATGAAGCTGAAGTGCTCTGAAAAGGAGCACATAATTACCAATTTTTGAGCACTCACTGTTTGCAACTTTCCATCTGTCATCTCACTTAATCTGCACAATATCCCTACTAGGTCAGTGCTTTATCAAACCCACTTGATAAATGAGGAAATGGAGGCCCAGAGAGGTTAAATCTGTCACCCAAGGATATTCACCTCTTAAGCGGCAGAGCTTAGAGCTTGGGCTCAGGACTGACCCATGCCTGACACAGCTGCCTCCCTCCTAGTCCTAGACCTTTGAATACATCTGCCTGTTTCCAACCTCTAGGTCTCTATCTTGCTGTTCCCTTTCCAGATATAGCCCATCCCACTTTTTTTTTTTCCTTTTTTCTTTTCTTTTTTTTTTCTTTTTGGCTGCAGAACTCCCTTCACCTTTTTGAGTTTCAAGTTTTAGATCAGGTTTCAGGAAGCCTCTAGGACCCCCAATAGGGCCCCTCTTCTGGGCTTCCTCTGCACTTAGCCAAACCTCTCCCATGATATTAATCACATCAACACTACATCCCTTGTCTCTAAACTCTTAAAAAAGCATGTTCCTGGGAGTTCCCTGGTGGTCCAGTGGTTAAGCCTCCACGCTCTCACTGCTGAGGGCCCGGGCTTGATCCCTGGTTGGGGAACTGAGATCCCACGAGCTGCAAGGTGAGCCAAAAAAAAAAAAGTTCCTTATCAGTAAGAAGATATTTAGGTGGGCACCCAGAATATAGGCATGTTTCTTTATAAAGTATATACACATGCATCTATCAATCCATATACATTAAATATTAGTAAATCCTAGTTTTTATTTTTTTAATGAAAAAGAAAGATAAATACAGGATCTGATGTCATATTTTCTTCCCATGCCCCATTTACCACCAACAAATTATCAAATCAGCATCTCTAGGCCAAAGTTCAGGGCGCGGGAGGACCTGGTACAGTGATGCCATCCTTTGGCCCGCTGAGGATCTGAGTTTTCAGCCTCTTCCCTCAGTGGGCCAGGCAGGGGGATGGGTTCCAGGCAGGAGCACCTCCCACAGTGCTGCCACCCTCTTGAGCCAGCAGGAGGTGGGGGTGAAGCTGAGCCCGGATTAGCTGGGGCCCTCAGGGAAGCTTCTAGGGCTGCAGGGTGGCCAGAGCAGGGACTGTGGATAGGTGCAGGCACCATGCCGCTGCAGGACGACACCCTCCGAGAGGTGTGGGCCTCAGACAGGTCTGGAAAGCCCTCACCTCATCCTACCTGAACCCTGGTGGGGGGGCCAGATGGAGGGTTTGGGGAGGGGCAGGAAAAGGGGAGGGAGACAGACTGATCCCTCTGCTACCCTCAGCGGGCATGAGGAGGAAGGCCAGAGCCCGGAGGTCCCGCAGCGCACCAAGCAGGTATGTCACCCCTGCTTGGAGAAGAGACAGAAAGAGCCCCCCACGCAGCGTAGGGGGTCTGAGAGTGGGGAGGGTCCCCTTCAGCAGCCTCTGGGGCTTGTTGCTTCCCTGGAGGTTTTTGTTTTGTTTTGTTTTTGCACGAAGGGGGTGTTTGGGGGTATGGGGTGTCCAGGAGAGGAACTTGGGCTTTGGGGCATTGGAGGTGGCCGTGGTACACGGAAGGGGGTCATTCTTCCTCACCCCAAGAAGGGGTGCAGTTCCCCTCCCAATAATCTGCAGTTATTTCTGGCGGCTCAAGGGATTAGAGAGTGATAGGCAGCCCTCAGAGCCCCCCTTTCCTTCCCCTCCCTCCTCTTGACCCCCACTCTGCAGCGACAGAAGTTGAGGAAGAAGAAGACAGAAGCCCCAGAGTCCCCCTGCCCCACGGGATCCAAGCCCCGGAGACCTGGAGGCATGCGGAAGGCTGGGCCCCGGGGCGCCCCCCCGGGTGAGGGTCACGGGAGGGAACGACCGCAGGCGAGGGTGTCCTTGAGTCTGGGAACCCTCCCTGGGAGCAGGGGCGTGGGAGGGGGGAGTAACTGGAGGGGGAAGCGGCGGAGCGGACTTGGGGTTGAGCTGGGGGTTAGGAGTGTAGGGATGATGAAAGCTGAGAGAGGGATGTCCAAGGTGGAAACAGAGCCCCAGGGAGACCCCAGGGTGAGGAGCCCGAGGGGGAGTGGGCGCCGTTGGAGGTCCCGCCTGACCTGCGCATCTCGGCTCAGCGGGACGGAGGAGGAGCCCGCGGGAGGAGCCCTCGCGGGAGCCCGCCGAGGCCCGGGAGCTGCAGACTGTCTACGCCAAGTTCCTCAGGGACCCCGAGGCCAAGAAGCGCGACCCCCGGGAGACCTTCCTGGTAGCCCGCGCCCCAGACGCGGAGGACGGTGAGAGAGCACCAGAAGGAAGGGGGCGTCTGGAGAGGAGGAGGGAAGGGGCTGGACAGGAACAGCAGATGGAGAGAGGCAGACAACGCGGAAAAACCGCGTCCACGTCCCTGGCTTCGTCTTTGAGCCAGGAAAACCTTTATTCTCGTGTTCTTGTCCCATCGTCGGGAGGGGGAAACCGAGGCACATTGAGGTTAAGAGTTTTGCCTTAAACTGCAGCTTCCCTGGTGATCCGCTGGGTAAGACTCCACCCTCCCAATGTAGGGGGCCCAGGTTCCATCCCTGGTCGGGGAAATAGATCCCACATGCATGCCGCAACTAAAGACCCCCGCATGCCACAAGGAAGATCCTGCGAGCTGCAACTAAGACCCGGCACAGCCAACAAAAATTAAAAATAAATAAATATTTAAACAAACAAACAAAAAGACCCCTGCAGCTAGGGGCTGGAGGTAGCTCAGACGGGTCTGGCTAGAAGTTAGAAATAGCAACAGACCAGGACAGGGAGAAGCAGTGCAGGTGTCTTTTAGAAGGGGCAGAGAAGGGGAAACTGAAAGACCCCAGGAGAGTGTGTGAGGAGCTGAGGGTACCAGAGAGAGAGGAAGGACGAGCAGAGAACGGCGTTTTCCCAGAACAGGATTGCCAAGCCCCCAGCATCCCCCCAACTCCAGCTCTTTCTCCTGACTTGTAGACCTTGGAAGACTCTGGAGTCACCCCCTTCTTTGAGGAAGGTGCCGAAACTCCTTTCTTCCTCCTGTTTCTGTTCCAGAAGGGGAGCCTCCTACCCCCAGCTCCTTCACCGCCTCCCAGCAATCTGGAAGGACTGGGCTCCCCACATAATGGGGCCCACCCCAGCCCCTGTTATGAGCAGTTTTTACCTGCAGGGGAGGAGGAGGAGGAAGAGGACGAGGAGGAGGAGGAAGAAGAGGACAAGGAGGAGAAGGAAAAGAAAGAGAAAATCCGTCTGCCTCCCAAGAAGCCCCCCAAAGAGAAGGCTTCTGCAGACATCAAGGAAAGGAAGGCCAAAGCCCAGGGTCCAAAGGGTGGGTGTTGAGGGTCCAGAGGGGGTAAAGACACACAAAACTAGCCCTACCCCTGAGGGGCCTGGTGTCTCATGGATACGCAGGAGTTGAGACATCAAAAAGCTCCCCAGATGGGCTTCCCTGGTGGGGCAGTCGTTGAGAGTCCGCCTGCCGATGCAGGGGACACAGATTTGTGCCCCGGTCCGGGAAGATCCCACATGCCGCGGAGCGGCTGGACCCGTGAGCCATGGTCGCTGAGCCTGTGCGTCTGGAGCCTGTGCTCCGCAACGGGAGAGGCCACAACAGTGAGAGGCCCGTGTACCGCAAAAAAAAAAAAAGCTCCCCAGTGCCTGGACCCAAGAGTTTTTCCCTTTGGTGGTTTCTTCCCTCCGATGGTCCTTAAATCAATATGTGTTCCCTCCACCATCCCCCCAGCCCCCTGCCCAGGGTGCTCTGTGAGCCAGGAAGGGCAGAGGATTTTAGTTTTCTTTGTGATTTTTTTTTAACTCAAGATGAATTATTTTTACAATTTTTACAAAAGTATCAAAGTAATTATAGTAAAAAATCAATCAGTGAATAAATGCTGTGATATCTCCCTGGCTGGGGCACCTTGCCCCATGGGTACTGGGGTCTGGTCTACATGTGGACATGTAGCTAGGACCTTGGGCCTCTTGGAGGGGCGGGGAGGACTGTCTGTAGCGCTGACCACAGGAGGTTTTCTGGAGGAGACGGGGTGGGAGCTGGGATTCAGAGGCTCGGTTAGGAGGCCTGGCATTCATCCATTCATTCATTCATTAACTACTTATTAAACTCCTGGTGTTCATCCAGTCCTTTTTGGACTCAGGGTTAAAAACAAGACAAGCAGAAGGTGCTCTGGGCCTCCCTGGGGACTGAAGGAACAATGAGTGGATCGGAAGGTGGCTCTTCTTTGTCTAACTCCCACCCTCCATTTCCAGAGGACCTGGGAAGCCCTGTCCCCCCACTGAAACCTCTGCGGATTAAGAAGAAGGAGGCATCAGCAGGCGAAGGGACCAAGATGAGAAAGATGAAGAAGAAAGGTGAGCCTGGTCTGTGGAGGAACAAGGGACTCTGGGTGAGGCGGGGGGGTGTGACCTCTTCACATCCACACACACAGGGTCCGGGGAGGCCGACAAGGACAGCTCAGTGAGCCCGACCAGAGTGAGGAAGAAGACACCAGCAGCCATGTTTCTGGTTGGGGGCGATGACCCTGGGGAAAAAGCTCTGAAGAAGAAAGGTAGGTGGCAGTGGCCTCTGGTGTCAGGACATCCAGAGGCAGTCGTGGGTGTGGAAGGAGGGATGCAGAATAGGGTGAGGAGTGGGGTTCTAAAGTCAAAGACTTGGTATATGTATGGATTATTCGCTTTGCTGTATAGCAGAAACTGACACAGCAGTGTAAAGCAACTGTACTCCAATAAAAAATAATAATAAAGTCAGAAGACTGGGGGCATCTTGACCCCCACTTTAATAGCTGTGTGGCCTCAGGCAGTGTCTTAGCTTTTCTGAGGCTATTACTTTCTTTTCTTTTCTTTTTTTAATTTAGTTATTTTATTTATTTATTATTTTTGGCTGCATTGGGTCTTCGTTGCTGCGCGCGGGCTTCTCGTTGCAGTAGCTTCTCTTGTTGCGGAGCATGGGCTCTAGGCACGCAGGCTTCAGTAGCTGTGGCTCGTGGGCTCTAGAGCGCAGGCTCAGTAGTTGTGGTGCATGGGCTTGGCTGCTCTGCGGCATGTGGGATCTTCCCGGACCGGGGCTCAAACCCGTGTCCCCTGCATTGGCAGGCGGATTCTTAACCACTGCGCCACCAGGGAAGCCCTATTACTTTCTGATAATAGTGAAAGGGGGTTGTTCTCTTGTGGTTGTGGGAGGGGTCCAAGTGAGGCGTGGGTGTTGGACGTACCTTGCAAAACAAGATGGGTTTTGCCAGGGTAAGGGGTTAACAGACTTGCTCCCCTACAATGCTCAGGCACTCCCAAAGACTCAGAAGAGGAGAAGGAGGAGGAGGAGGAAGAGGTGGCAGCTGTGGTGACCAAGAACAGCAATCAGAAGGGAAAAGCAAAAGGAAAAGGCAAAAAGGTTGGAGCCCAGACGGGAGAGGGTGAGGTCCCTCCAGGGAGCAGTGGCAGGGGCCTGGGCTTGGGGGACCTGAGTGTGGGACCTCGTGGGCTGGGACCATGGAGTCACTTGGGGTTAGAATCTTAGCTGCCTTTCTGGTGACAGGGTATGAGGACAAAGGGAACCAGGTTTGTGAGAACAGAAGAGGCAGTTGTGGGGTCACCAGGCTGGGACTGGCCACCCGGGGGCCTTATGTCACCCGCTCTGAGCCCTCCCCCCTGCAGCCTAACTATCAGACACAGCCGGAGATGCTCTCATGGCCCCCACATGAGAGCCACACATTTTCTGTACCAGGGAGGTGGAGCCCAGGCAGACAGACATATGCATGCACATACCTGGGCACACTGACTGACTGACAGCCAGCTGTAGTTGAGCTATTACTTATTTTTTTTGTGGTACACGGGCCTCTCACTGTTGTGGCCTCTCCCATTGCGGAGCACAGGCTCCGGACGCGCAGGCTCACGGGCCTAGCCGCTCCGCGGCATGTGGGATCTTCCCGGACCGGGGCATGAACCCGTGTCCCCTGCATCGGCAGGCGGACTCTCAACCACTGCACCACCAGGGAAGCCCTATGACGTTTTTTAAATTGGGGTATGGTTGCTTTACAATGTTGTGTTAGTTTCTGCTATACAGCAAAGTGCATCAGCTATATGCATAATATATCCCTTCTTTTTTGGATTTCCTTCCCATTTAGGTCACCACAGAGCATTATGTAGAGTTCCCTGTGCTATACAGCAGGTTTTCATTAGTTATCTATTTTATACATATTAGTGTATATACGTCAATCCCAATCTCCCAATTCTTCCCACCTCCCCACCCATCCACCCCATACTTGAGTTTTTAAAATAGTTCCACTCTGCTGCTCTGAGATACTGCTCAGAGTGCTTTCTGCTCTCCCACCCAGGCCCTCCCAACCTTCCAGCAACCAAAGGGTTAACACTGGCCATCAGAGGCCTCCAGGACCTCTTCCAGTCCTACCAGTGTCCACTCTGACGGTGCAGTCTCCATGGGCAGAACACGTTGTTAAATATTTCCAATACAGCCCCCACTCACAAACAGGACTCAGGTACCAACATGCACAGGCAGGAGTAAGCGGGAGAGAGAGGTCGAACTGGAAAGAGAAAGTGATGAAAGTCTTCGAGAAACAGGTTTCCATGAGTGGAGAGATCATCCTGAGGGCAGGGCCTGGGGGTATCTTAGTTTGTGGGTTTATTCCTTTGTACAGGGGTGGTCAGGTCTTGGGGGACTGATTCACATTAGCCAAGATCACCAGAAACTGATATATAACTGAAAGGCCAGCTTATTGTCTTCCAGAAAGAATATAACTGCAGTACAGCCTTTAATATAGTAGGCCAAAATTCACCTCTGTAGAAATGTTTGAATGAGTCTGGCTTTCCCAACATCACGTTCCAAACATAGTCTTGGATTTCCCAAGTTTCTTCTAGAGCAGCCTAGAGCGAAGAAGAGATGCCACTTACCTGGAGGCTAAGGGCCTGCTCCCTAACACCAGCCTCACTTCACACACAGTGCAAACCTGCCCTCAGCAAAAATGGGCAACCTCAGCACATCAGTGTTCTTAGTGACTCCCAGACAGCATTTATACCTGAAATGCACACACCCAGGTGGCAGTCCCTTGTCTCCCCAGCTGGGAAACTTGGGGTTAGAGTCTTGGTTCCCCCTCTTGTGAGGGACAGAACATGATAGCAAAAGGCACTAGGTTTGTAAGAACAGAAGGGGCAATGGTAGGGTGGTCACTAGGCCACCCTAGGGCCTAATGCAACCACATAGTTATTAAAAGTTTTTCAAAGAGCAAAATGAACTTATTTATTCATTCATTGTATTGACTATGTATTGCTATATAACAACCACCCCAAAACTTAAAATGACAATTTATTTTCTTAATTTCTGTGAGTCAGAAATCTAGGAGTGGCTTAGCAGGGGTAGTTTGGACTCAGGGTCTCCTGTGAGGTTGCAGTCGAGATGTCAACTGGGGCTGTGGTCATTCTTAAAGTTTGACTGGAAATGGAGGATCCACTTCTAAAATGGTTCACTGTCATGACTGTTGGCTGGAGGTCTCTCCAGAGGCTGCTTGACTCTCCTTAAGACATGGCAGCCAACTTGCCCCAGAGCCCAAGAGTGGCCCAAGAGATACAGCAAGGCAGAAGCTGTAATATCTTTTATGACCTAGCCTTAGAAGTGACAGTCCATCACTTCTGCCATATCCTATTGGTCACAAAGACCAACGCTGATACAGTGTGGGAAGGGTCTACACACGGGCATAAATACCAGGAGGCGGGGAGCATCGGGGGCCATGTTGGAGGTTGGCTGCTACATTCATTGAGTATTTACCGCCTGCTATAATTATAGTGGTAGCTGACACTTCTATAACGCCATGTGTTTAGAACACAGCAATCCACACCTTCAGCCTCACCTCAGTTCACCCCCTGAGAGCATCCATATGATGGAAGGTCTTTCTAAAGGTTCTGGGTTTAACAGCATTCAAAGCCCAGCTTCACCTCTTACTATGTGAACTTGGACAAGTTATTTAAGCTCTCTGAGCCTCAGCTTCTTCACCTGTATAATGGAACAACTACCTCAGTAGCTACTGATAAGAGGAATGAGTTAATATTTGGAAAGTGCTTAGAATAATTCCTGGCACATTGGTAGACTTTCTATGAGTGTCTGTTAAATATATAAACTAAGGTCTGTCCACCCCAACCCTACATACTTCTCAGATGAAAAAACTGAGTCACAGTGTTGTTAAAACTTAACAACCATGACAGACAGTGGTGGAACCAGGATTTGAACCCAGGCTGTCTGGCTCCAAAGCCTGGGCTCATAACCACAAGCTAAACAAAATAGTAATAAAGCACAAAGCTCCCCAGAGCCTCCTAACACGGCCTGGAGAGCTGCTGGGGGAGGGGCCGGCTGCACTCTAACAGCCTTTGTTCTCTCCCCAAACAGAAAACGGTGAGTTGTCCTGCCTGCCCTGCCTGCATCCCGGCACTGGGGACCTGCTGAGGGCCGGGAAGCTGGTGCTCTGGGGCTGATGCACCCTCTGCCCACACCCAGAAGGAGGAGAGGGCCCCATCCCCACCCGTGGAAGTGGACGAACCCCAGGAGTTCGTGCTTCGGCCTGCCCCCCAGGGCCAGACGGTCCGCTGCCGGCTGACCCGGGACAAGAAGGGCATGGACCGGGGCCTGTATCCCTCCTACTTCCTGCACCTGGACACAGAGAAGAAGGTGGGTCGGAGAGAGGTGGCAGCCAGTGGGACGGAGAGTGGAGGGGCCAGGACCCAGACTGAGGGAGAGTCTAGAGCCAAAGTGCAGTGGGGCGAGGGCTGCGGGGCAAATGGGCCTTCTCTTTCCCCGGGTGCACCTCCTTCCTCCAGCGCATCTCTGTGACCCCTCTCCCCAGGTGTTCCTCCTGGCTGGCAGGAAACGGAAACGGAGCAAGACAGCCAATTACCTCATCTCCAGTGACCCCACCAATCTGTCCCGAGGAGGGGAGAATTTCATCGGGAAGCTGAGGTGGGGCTGGGAAGCTCAGTGGCCAGTCACCTCTGTCCCCTTGTGCCTGGCAGAGTGCCCACCACATCGGACACTCTGGAATTGTCCCCTGGCCCGGGGCTTCTCACACTTTGACAGGCATAGATCACTTGGGGGTCTTGTTAAAATGGTTCAGTGGGGGGAGTTCCCTGGTGGCTTAGTAGTTAGGATTCTGGGCTTTCACTGCCGTGGCCCAGGTTCAATCCCTGGTCTGTGGAACTGAGATCCTGGCCCCCCCCACCCCCCAAAAAAAGGTTCAGTGGGTCTGTGCAAGGAGTGAGGTTCTGCATTTCTAAGAAGCACCCAGGTGATGCCCACACTGCTGGTCCTGAGACCTCACTTGGAGTAGGACATAAGGTCCATGGGACAGGGATTATGCCTGTCTTGTTCATGGTTGAATTCCTAGCACGTGGCACATAGTAGCTATTCAATAAATATTTACCAACTGAACGGACGAATAAAGATTCAGCACCTACACTGTGCTATGTCTCTCCATATAGCTCATTCAATCCTCACCACAAATCTGAGAGGTGAAGGGAAAGTGAACCCCCGAGTCAGGCCTTATTTCTTTAATTTATTTATTTAACAAACACTTATGTAAGGCCTACCTATGTGTTAGGTGTATTTCTAAGTAACTTCCAAATATTAATCCATTCAATCCTCTTATCAACCAAATGGGGTAAATACTGTTATCATGCCCATTTTACAGATGGGGAAGTTGAGACTAAGAGTTTAAGTAACTTGCCTGGGGTCATACAACTAGCAAGAGACGGAGCTGAGATTTGAAAGCTTCCCAGTCTCCTTCTAGATCCAGCTTTTAAAAAGACTTCATGGCGGAAGCCAGGGTCAGGGGACCTGAATTGCTCCGGTCCTAATACACACCCACGCTTGAGGTAGGAAGCTCTCAAAGCTTGGCTGTGAGGAAGGGTCTGGGAGGAGGGGTGTGGACCCTCCTCAGCCCCGCCCCCAGCTCCACCCTGCTTGCAGGTCCAACCTCCTGGGGAACCGCTTTACCGTCTTTGACAATGGGCAGAACCCGCACCGCGGAGGCAGCACGGATGTGGGGAGCCTTCGGCAGGAGCTGGCGGCTGTGATCTATGTGAGAGTCCCACCTGTCCCCCGCGGCAGGCAGGCCCCTCCTCTCGCCGGGGCCGGCCTAACGCGCATCTCCCTCCCAGGAAACCAACGTGCTGGGCTTCCGAGGTCCCCGGCGCATGACGGTCATCATTCCCGGCATGAATTCGGACAAGGAGAGGGTCCCCATTCGGCCCCGCAATGTGAGCCCCTTACCTCCCTGAAGGCCTTCCCAGAGGGTCCTGCTCCGTACTGACCTGCTTGTAACCCACTCCTGGGAAGCTGGGGGGCTGGGGGGGGGGTGCTCGGCCTGCCCAGTACCCAAACCCCTGAGCACACCCATCACCTGGTCACAAATCACCCTGTCACCCCATCACCCTGTCACAAATTCATTCTGGCAACTTGTGGAATTAATTCAATTCAGGGGTTTTTCACTGAATTCACCGAAACAAGCACAATAGGGGTTGTTTTGTTTTGCTTTGTTTTTTTCAGTTTACATCAAATCACTCATTCATATATTCATTCAACACACATACATTGAGTGCCAAGTATTAGTGTAGGCAACTGGAGACATCAGTGGACAAAACAAAGATCTGCACTCATGAAGCTGGCATTCTAGTGGAGGCAGGCAGACAGTAGACAATAATTGTGATAAATAAGTAAATTGTGTAGTATGTTAGAAGGTGATAAGTACTGTAGGGAAAAAAGAAAAAGTCGAACAAGGGAAAGGAGATGAGGGGTGTGTGTGTGTGTGTAGGTTTCAATTTAAATACAGTGGTCAGAGTGAGCCTCACTGAGAAGATGAAATTTGAAGGAGATGAGGAGCAAGCCTGCAAATATCTGGGAAAAGAACATTCAGGCAGGGGGAAGAGACAGTGCAAAGGCCCTGAGGCAGGAGTGCCTGGTGGGTTGGAGAAGCAGGTCAGAGAGGTGACAGTGAGGGGCAGATAAGTCTGTATAACTGGTTTTTACTCAGAGAAACAGGAAGCTATATCAGGGTTTTGAGGAAAGGAGTGATATGATTGACATATTTTAAAAAGCAAAGGCTGTTTGTTTTGTGTGTGTGTGTGTGAGGGGTAGGGTAAGATGGAGAGATGGCCTGGAGAGAGGTGGCCTCCTTCAGTGTGTCAGTCCCACGCTCTGCTCCTTAGCACTGCAAGTTGGGTGAGCCCAGGATTTCAGAGACCGATGACTGGCATGGACACTCACAGTGATGTCACTTTACTCATTTGCAATGAAAAAGAATACTCCCATCAGCTGATCACACATCCCTCCCTGCCGGAAAGACACTGTAATCAGAGGCCTGGCCAACCCATGGGGCACGAGCCCTGGGAGGCTCCGGTCTTTAAGAGCTTGTGGGTTCCACAGTTGCTCCTTCCGTCCTGGAATAAACATATAAATCCTCCAGAGGCAGTGCCTCCCACGTGTATTTGGGCTTGGTAAGAACTACCCAGTGCTGCTTTGTGTATCTCTTCATCATCTTACAGTTCATTCATTCCACAATCATTTATTAAAGCCAGGCACTGAAGATCCAAAATCAACACGAGTTACCATCAAAACAATATCTGATATTTATTGAGCATTTACTCTGTGCCAGGAACTGATCTAAATAACACTTCATGCACTATTAATCATTTAATCTTCACAAAACCCTGTTGTGAGGGAAACTGAGGCACAGAGCCATTACTCAAATACTGTGCATGCTGTTAGGGTATCTAATTCTGTCCATAACAGTGCAGTGGGAGAAATGGTTAAGAGCAAGGTGTTATGGAAGCTCAGAGCTGACATCTAAATCAGACATGGGGTCAGGAAGGCTTCTTGGAGGATACGATCTTGAGCGGACTCATTCTAAGTCGTGAACATGAACAGGTGACAAAGAAACTAAGGAAAGAAATCTCTCAAGAGCACCATCACACAGATACTGCTCCTTCCTTCCAGAAACTCTTCCAGGACATTTTATTTTAACTACTCTTTACCTATACATCTCTCCAAGCTCAACTGTGAGCTTCTTGTAAGTCAGAATAGCTGGTTCATCCTTGTAATCGGTGCCAGCATATATGGCCGTTCCTAAGACTCCCTTGGGCACCAATGGCATCGAGCACCTCCTGTGTGCCACATGCTACTTTCCACTTTCCAACCCTCCACTTTGTCATTCCACAGCAAAGCCCATTCTCACAGATACACACCCTGCCCGTACGGACGCCACAGAGATCGCACATGCGCTCAAGGATACCCTGCATGGACGTTGACACCCAGGCTGCACACACACAAGGGCATGCACACGTCCCCAGCCGCCCCTCCACCACCAGTCCTGAGATAGCTCAGCCACCCCTAACTGTCCTCTCCCTAATACTGCCCCACCCGTGGCACCCCAGGCCAGCGACGGGCTGCTGGTGCGCTGGCAGAACAAGACACTGGAGAGCCTCATCGAGCTACACAACAAGCCCCCCGTCTGGAATGATGACAGTGGCTCCTACACCCTCAACTTCCAAGGCCGAGTCACCCAGGCTTCGGTCAAGAACTTCCAGATTGTCCACGCCGATGACCGTGAGTATCTGGGGACCCAAGCCAGGCTGTTCCCCACCACCTCCAAGACCTCAATCCTTACTCAAGTCTTTCCCCCAACCCCCATCTCTCTCTCCCTCTCCCTCTCTCTATATAACACACACACACACACACACACACACACACACACAGAGGAGTGGAGCTGTCCTTTATCTCTGAAGCCAGAACATTCAGGAAGGTCACTCTCTCCTGTGGGGGCATTGACATTGTGCTCCCAGGAGCCTCATATATTCCAAGCAGGTGTCTTGGGGCTCACTGTTCCAGGCCGTCTTTCTAGCACTGACTAGAGCCTGGGGTAGATATTGGGGTATTCTGGGTAAGACTGTGTTGAAGGGACAGTTACGCTGCTGGAGCTTAAAAAACACTGATAGGGAGTTCCCTGGCGGTCCAGTGGTTGGGACTCAGCACTTCCACTGCCGGGGCCCTGGGTTCAATCCCTAGTCAGGGAATTAAGACCCCGCAAGCTGATAGTGCAAGCCACGTGACGCGTCCAAATAATAATAATAAATACAAATTTAAAAATAAAAAAGACTGATAGACCAACCCCCACGTGGCCAAGAAGGATGCTGAGGCTCAGAGAGGGCAGCACATTATCCAAAGTCTCTCAGCAACTCCAGGCAGTTACCCTGGCCCTCAAAATTTATTTCATAAACACTTAAACAGTGTTTATGTTTACTTAACACATGAGACTTTCTATGGACCAGGCACTGTTCTCAGGACTTCACAGATACTGAATCATTAAATCTTTTCAGGAATTCCCTGGTGGTCCAGTGGTTAGGATTCTGTGCTTTCACTGCCAAGGGCATGGGTTCAATCCCCGGTCGGGGAACTAAGATCTCCGCAAGCTGCACCGCCGAAAAAAAAAATTAAATCTTTTCAGCAGCCCTGTGAGGAAGGTATTATTATTGTCCCTGTTTGGCAGAGGAGAAAACCAAGGCACAGCAAAGTTAAGTAACTCACACATACAGCTTGTGAGAGGCAGAGGTGGGATTAGAACCCAGGTAGTCTGGCTCCAGTGCCCAACCCCATGAGGATGGTTGCCTTTTAGGAGTAGGAAATACAAATCAAGCATTTCTATCGTTCTCTCTCCAGTGAGGTCAAAGGCCTGCCCTCGAAGAGTTAGGGAAACAAAATGTACCTTGAACACAATTAAGTAAAAATGTGCCCTGTTACAAGCCTTGGGGAGAGGTCCCCACTAGGGTGAAGGGGTTTGGATATGGAACGTTATCTCCCAAGGACTTTCCAGGTTCCCAGAATTGGCTAACATTGAGTGAGTTCCCTACCCCCACTCCATCCTAGGGATGTGCCCCCTGTGTCACCTGTCCTGAGGCCTTGAAAAACCGCTCTCCAGATCACATTTCTGGTGGAGCCTGGTCGGCCGAGGTTGGGGGTATTTTTAGCAACATCCTGTCCCTATGGATGCTGGGGGAGGTGTTGGGATTGAGGCTGGAAACCTGGGCCAGATATGGGATGGGGGCTGAGGGGGCCACTGGATAAGGAGGGGAACCATGAGGCTGGTGGTCTAAGACAGGACCTGGGGTCTGGGGGTGGGAAGAAGGAATGGGGCAAAGACCAGAGAGGCGTTGGAAAGGAAGGATTCTAGGCTTAAGGAAGTTTGACCGGTTTCTCTAAGTGCGGGCTGGTCATATGCATAGCCCTGGGCAGCAGAAGGTAAGGCAGGGTCGCCGCCCTCAGGGGCTTACCGTGGCTGGTAAAGCTGTAGGCAAGTGGGGCTTGCTGGGCGAGATAAGAGGGTGGATGGACGGTGGGGTGAATAACTGAGACGTGGCTAAGGACTGGGGCCCCAGTGCAAGAGTGGGGGGACTTCCCTCAATGTTGAGGGCACTGTCTGCCAGGAGAGAGAACCCAAGAGGTCTCGGGCCGCCCCCCCCCGCCCCGTCTGTGTCCATAGCCGACTACATCGTGCTGCAGTTCGGCCGCGTGGCCGAGGACGCCTTCACCCTAGACTACCGGTACCCGCTGTGCGCCCTGCAGGCCTTCGCCATTGCCCTCTCCAGTTTCGACGGGAAGCTGGCCTGCGAGTGACCCTAGTAGTCCTCAGCGCCCGCCAGGGCTGGGGAAAGGATTCAGTTTGGAGGCTTGAACGGTCCCTTCACCAGAGTCCCCACTGAAGACTCCTCCCTTGTCGGGGGCTGACCCCGCTGTCTCCGGGTGACCTCCATCCACTGCCCAGCCTGGCACAGGCGAGGCAGGGGAGGAGCTCACACGGCGGGTCGGACGGAGATGAAGAACATCTGGAGTTGGAGCCGCACATCTGGTCGCGGAGCTAGCCTGCGCCGCTTCACCACCACCCCCGCCCGGCGCCCCAGTCACTTCCTGTCCAGGAGCAGTAGTCAGTGTTGTTTTAACCCCCTCTGGGACCGTACTAGGGCTCCAAGGAGGGGGGCGGGCTCCGAGGAGGGGGTAGGTGATGGGGAACGAAAACCGGGTACCCACATCCCCAATAAAGCTGCGTCCTAGGCCAAGAGGAGCAGTGGTTCTTCAGCGCGTGCGGAGAAAAAGGCGGCGGGAGGGGTCCGGAGCGCGGGAGAGGTCCGGAGGGCGGGCTGGAGGCCTCCCTTCCCCACCCCCCACCCCGCTCAGGCCCCGGGCGCTCCCGCGTCCCCTCCCACGCGCCCATCGTGGGTCCTACCGAAACTCGGCTGGCTCGCGATGTCGAGACGCCCCCCGCGGGGGCCCCGGGGAGCCGGGCCGAGAGGGAGGGCCCCGGAGGTCCGGGAAGAGGGGGAAAGGGAGAAATTCGAGAAACAAGCCTCTCGGGGAGAACCAGACAAACCGGGTTCGGGCAGGGCGGGCGCAGCCTCCAGGGCGGGGCCGGGTCTGGGGCCCGAGGAGTAAGGGGGCGGGCCCTCAGTCGGGAGAAGGCGCTCCGCCTCGGCCGTTCGGGACTCGGGTAGGGGGTAGGGAGACCCGAAGACCGTGCGCCCCGGCTCCGCCGGGCTCCTAGTGACGCGGCACCCGGGCCCCTGCACCGACGGGAGTCCTGCCCCCGAGGTGGGAGCTCCGCCCTCGGCCCCGCCCAGGCCGGAGCCCCAAATTCCGGCGGGGGACTGGGGAGGTAGGGTAGGGCAAGGGAGGTTGAGAGCGCCGCTCCGGCAGGCGAGGAACGGGGCGCCCAGGCGCGGAGAGGCCGAGGGTCGCCTGGGGTCCCGAAGCGTCAGGGTGGGCAGCCCAAGCGCGGTCGGGGGCGGCCCTGCGCGGCCCCGCCCCTCCAGGCTGGTGCCCGCCCCCCTGCGCGCCCCGCCCCCTCCTTCCCCGCAGCCCCCACCCCCAGTCCCGGCTCCTCAACACAAACTTTCCGTCCCGCTCGCTCCCTCCTCCGCGCCCGGCGCCTCCCGCTCCAGCCCGGCTCATTCCGCACATTCCGGTCAGCCCCCTCCCCAAGACCCCCCTTCCCCGGCCCCCCTCTTCGCTCCCTCGGGCCCGGCGGAGCCGCCCGGCCGGAGCGCCCCCGCGAGATCGGACCAGGTAAGCCGGGCGGACGCCGGGAGGAGGCCCTGCTGGGAGAGGTGGTTTGGTTGGTTGGTTCTGGGTTGGGGGGGCACTCGAGGGGGGCTGGTTCCCAGAGCTATTGTCCAGCCTGAGCCGGAGCCCCGGATCTGGGTGCCGGGAAGTTTAGAGGAAAGGGGGGGAAGCCCTCCGGGAAGCCCCGCCCACCCCTCCCACCCCACCCCCATCCCACCCCCCCGCGACCCGGACGAGTTGTTCGGGGGAGGTCGGGGAGCCGGGAGCTTGGCTCCGGAGCCATCGCCTGGCCCAACGTCCGCCTTTGGGGTGTCGAGGTCGGGGTCTGGGGGCCCGCACGGTCTAGGGGGCCTGCCACCGGGGAGCTCCCAGTCCCGGGCCCCGCCGCCCTTTGGACTCCCAGCTGGCGCTCTCTCGGAGTCCGCTGGGCCCCAGCTCCACGCAGGCCTCGGGCCCGGCCTCCCGGCGCCCAGGCCGGCTCCTGCGCGCGGTGCCCGCAGCCGTGCCGGATCGTGGAGGGTGTCCGGCAGCAAAGCTGCGCGCCCCGGGCGTGTGCCCCCTGAGGGGCAGGAGCTTAAGTTCCCTCCAGTCTGCCGCCTGCGTCGGGGTGGAGTTTTCGGAGTTCCAGCCCTGAGCTCTGTGAGCCTGGCTCTAAAGGGGGCTGGATTTGGGGCCTTCTCTTCGCCACGCTTCCTCAGAGCCCTTGTTTAGACTTTAGAGGGTTTGAAGGCCGCTTGTCTCCTCTAACCCTAACCCCCCAACAACACCCCCACCACTGTCTGTCATGCCCTTTACTCCTGCCTGGGGAAGGAAGGCCGGGAGTGCCTGTCTGCGTCTGGTTTCCAGCTTAGCCAGGCCGCACGGCAGTGTCATGGAGACCCCACTGTGTCACCTTTCCAGGAGAGGGGCCCTGATCCAGGGCTGAGAGATTCTTTCTGAACAAGGGGGAATGAGGCGTTGGTGTAGGGCTTCTCAGGGGGCACCTCCTTCTGTGTCTTTACTCGCTCCAGGTAGAGGCAGAACCAGGTCAGGCCTGGACTTGTAGCCCAGGAGAGCAGGGGGTGGGGATGGGGGCTGGACACAGCTCAGAGGGGCTGGTGCGAGCCCACGGCGCCTCTGTATATCCGGCCTCCTGCAGCTGATTCTGTGTCCACATGTTCCACCCCAGTGCAGGGGGCCAGGGCGCCTCCTTGGCCAGAAGGCTGGGGGCAGCCTGGGGTAAGGAGGGAAATCTAAAGTTGCCAAAAGTTAGAGATTTGGGGGAATTAGGTATTCCTCCCTTCCAGATTCTTGTAGCTCCTTTTCCAAGACCTCCCCCCAGCGGTGCCACCACAGAACATGGTTCTGTGGTCTTTCTAGATCCCTAGGAGATAAACAGATGTATTTTCTAGGACTAGGCTATATGGTGACAGTGACTTCAGTGGCCCTGGATGCCCCCTCCTCAGAGAGAGGCTGGGATCCAATGGGAGTCTCAACCTTGTGGGCCTTCCCCCACCACCATCCCCCCAGGGAGGAACAATAATTAATGCTAATTAGCGCATTTAAGCAAGGGAATGGCTGAGTACGATGGTCAGTGATTGGCAGGACCTCCTCAAACAGAGGAGGTCAAGAAATTAAGAGATCTGGCCCCAGCTGGGCCTTTAATCAGTTGTGTTATCCTGGTGGGCCTCAGTTTCCCTGTTTGGAATCCATGACTTCTCAGGTCCCTTTTCTCTGAGCTTCTCTCGGAGTCTCTGTCTCCTAATCAATCAGCCTTCCCTCTCTTCCCATCATGGAACCTGAACCTGGTGGGGCCTGGAGAGGTGAGTGGGTGACCCAGTGGTCTAAGAAGAAGGTGAGGGCTAACCAGGGGGTGACTGAGGGCAACTAAGCCAGGTGAGAGTGGCTGAAAAGGTTACAGGCAGCAGGTGTCAGAGGAGAGGGAGGCCGTTGGAGTCCGGGAACTGACCTGGGAGGTGGCAGTGGGGTCTGGCAAGGCTGGGCAGGGTAAATGGTGTTCAGAGGCCGCCTGGATGGCCGACCCCTCTCCCAGACGCCTCTAGGGGCTCAGGGTGGAAGTTGGAAGGGAGTGAAAGCTCCCAGCCCTGTCCACCTCCTCGCTCAGGAAGGGAGAGGTGCCTAGGGGCCGGCTGACAGGGAGGACAGTGGGGAAGGGAGCTGGTGGTGCCAGGCTCCAGGGAGCCAAGAGGGCTCCCAGTGCTGCAGCTTTGTGTGGAGGTGGCCAGGAGGTCGCAGTCTCTGCTTCCCACGTGGGCACTGCAGGAGCTGTGGGGTCTGAGGGGTGGCCTTGAGGGTCCAGGTCTCCCTCTGGGGCCGCCCTGGGGCCATGGCAGGAGCTTCTCTGCTCAGAGCTGGGGTGGAGGCCAGCAGATCACACTCGGCCCTGTCCCCCGTGGCCTCGCCCTGCCCTCCCCTCCCCGCTGGTGTGCCAGCCTAGGGTGGTCTGCAGGAGAGGCCCTGCCCCTCCAGGGAGGACTCTGGCGGGGAGCGGGCTCTGCGGGTCCGCTCAGGGTCCCACAGGGGCCTGGGGGCAGGAGCCAGAGAATTCTGTCGCTCTACAAATCCCAAAGCCTCGGCCCCTGAGGTTTCCTAGAGTGCTGATTGCTTCCTGTGCTCCCTGCCAGGCCCGACAGGACAGGAAGTGATAGAGGGAAACGAGAGTGCCACTGTGTGTGCCACTGAATGTGTGTGAGAGAGAAGCCGAGTGGGACACTCTGTGTGGGTGATGCTGGGGGGGTGGATGCAGGTGGGGGCAACTGGGTAAAACCAGTTTGTGTGTGTGACTGCATGTGAGAGCAACTGTATGCAATATTGTGACTTGGTAACATTCACGTGTGAGAGAAGCTATGATATTCTCTGTGAGACTGACACTGCAGGTACATGAGGGAAACTATGAATGATGTTCTTAGTGTGTGGCTGACGCTGTGTGTGTGTGTGTGTGTGGCTGTATGGGGGACCTATGTGTGTGAGGGGCCATCACATGGGGTACATTTATGAAAGACACCGTCTGCTTGACTAGCGGTGTGAGCTCACACTCGTGTCTGGATGGGATTCCGATGCCCCAGGTGTGTGAGGGACACTGCGATTGTGTGATGCTGTGTGTGTCAGAAGCAGAATGAGTGACACTCTGTGTGACGTATGTTGCTGTTGCATGCCTATGTATGGCGCAGTGTGAACAGCAAATGAGATGACCTTGGGTTTGTAGAAACTCTGATGGTCTGTGTATGACTATATATGACACCACGTATGAGAAAAGTTGTCACAACATGGTGTACATGTGTGTGTAAGGGGGAAACCGTTGTGACACGGCGGACTATACCCAGTGCAGCAGGCGTGTGCTGAGAAGCTGTGGCAACAGCTGAGTGTGAAATCAGGCGTGTGGGTGAGACTGAGCACAAGAAAGAAACTCCGCACATGGAGGGACGGTGCTGTTTGTGGGGTGTGACTGAGACCGACTCTGTGGGTGGTCACATCTGAGATGATTTGCGACTGTGGGGGAGTGGGGGTGACATCCTTCAGGACTGTGGCATATATCACGTGGGATGCCATGTATGATGAATTTGGGGGACTGTGACCCCAATGCATGTGGTGTCTACATGGAGGACCACAGAAAGAAAACTGTTGAAAACAAAGAAAGAATGGGACTTCCCTGGTGGTCCAGCAGTTAAGATTCCGCACTTCCAGTGCAGGGGGCACGGGTTTGATCCCTGGTCAGGGAACTAAGATCCCACGTGCTGTCAACATGGCCAAAAAAAATACAAGAAAAAAAGAAAGAAAGAAAGAATGTACTTAATGCCGCTGAAGTGTGCACTTAAAAACGATTAAAATGGTACATTTTTTATTACGTATGTTTTATCACAATAAAAGAAGTTAAGAAAAAGAAATAAGGGAGATGCAGGTAACAGTGAATGTGCAGGACAGTGGCTGTGAAGAGGAGTGTGTGCGTTTGATAGAGAGGAGACGCCCAGGGAAAGCCTGTGTGTTTATAGACGACATTGACATTGTGACCTTCCTGAGGGGGCAACTGACTGAGGGACTAGTGGCAGCTCAGTGGGTGATCCAGAGTCCAAGGGGCCCTCTGACATGTTCACTGAGAGCTGTGAAACCCAGTTTCACCCCTTGGCTGCATCCCCGCCCCCTCCAGCTTGGATCCCTGGCCTTCCTGGAGTGGGATGAGATGAAGAGACAGGACAGTCTCAGAGTCGGGGTGAAGGGAAGTGGGCCCCTTCTTCCTGCAGGAGGTTTGAGGGCTCTGAGTCTCTTCCCTCCCTCCCTCCCTCCCTCCCTCCTACACTGCTGGAAGCAGGGGTGACAGTGAGGATGAGCCTTGGAGAGGGAAGCCTGGGGGGCTACCCTGCCCCATCTGCTCCCCGAGGAGCCTGTGCCCTAGGAGAGGGGGTGGGTGGGTGCAGAGACTGGATTCCCAAATTGGAAGCACATTAGTAAGCTGGGGAGGGCTGGGGAGCCCCCCTTCACCTCCCTCCTAGTGGGTTCTGCAAATTGCTTCCTCCTGTAAAAATCTCAACCCTGCTCCAGGGAGGAGGGTACTCCATCTCCAGCCTGGCAGGGTGTGGTCACTTGGCAGGGTCCCCCAGGGGTCCTTGGCCTGCAGGTGGGGGAGGCAGACACCATCCCCATCCCGCCTGCCCTGCTCTCCCATCCCAACCAGAGCACGGCCAGTTCTAGGGTGGGAGCCTCTGGCAGCTGGAGAACAGCTGGCCCGCTGTGGGGGTGGGTGGGGAGGAAGGAGGGAAAAGCAGAGGAGGCGGGGAGGCTCCCTTAGCCCTCATCTACCGCCTGCCCCATCCTCGCCCCCCTGGCTGGCCAGCCCAGCCCAGGTTTGGGGGCAGGGCATTCAGGATGAAACTGCTGGTTTCACTAATCTTCCCACACTTTGAGTGATGTTCTCACTCAAAGTGAGAGCACTCTGAGGGCTGAAGTCCTGCAAGAGTGGACAGCTGCTGCCCGCTAGATGCAGCACAGTCACCGGGCTCAGTCCGACCTCCCCGCGGGGCTGGTGCCGGGGGAGGGGCGCCGGGTGTAGACACCTGCCTGGGCTTGCCTTTTCTGCATCCCCCACCAGGCAGAAGCTCTGGGGGAGCCCAGGTTTCAAGCCCATCCCTCCCCCTACTTGAAAGGCGGTAGAGGGCTGGGTGGTCTGGAGGCTGCGGGGGCCTTGGGGGGTGAGGACCTAGGGCCTCTGCAGCAGCCCCTGCGCTGGCCTCCACCCCTGGAGCTGTCCAGCCAGTTATTCCAGCAGGTCTGGCCCCAGGGTGGGGAGTGGGCAGCAAGGTGCCCCTTATCTCCCTCAGGGCCCTGAGGCCTGCTCACCCAGCCTCCTATCTCCTACCCGGCCACCACCCAGAGGCACCTTCTGACCTCAGAAGGCCCTGGGAGAGGGGAAGCGGGTGTGTGCTGGTCAGATTGAGGGTAAAGTTAGAGCGAGAACACAGGAGGTCCTTGGGCTGTGCAATACCAGGGAGATGGGAGGTCGTCTGAGAGGAGGGCTGGGGGGCAGATGGGCCAGGAGTGGGGATGTCCTGCATGTGGCCCTGTTGTGGCTGAAACCAGCCCCCAGCCCCCAGCAGTGGCTCCCCTGGTCACTCCTTCCCCCGAGGTCTGCCCCAGCCTCTGAGTGTTTCTGTCCTTGGCTCGCGCTCGCTCGCTCGCTCGCTCTCTTTCTTTTTCTCTCTCACCACCATCTGGTTTTTCCCTCCCTCACTGCCTGACTGTGTCTGAGTTTAGTGATTTACCCCCTTCATCTGTGTGTCTCCATCTCCTCCATCTTGGTCTCTGTCTTTCTGTCTCTGTTGGTCATAGTGACTCTCTCCCTCACTCTCTCCTCACTCCCCCCAATGTCTGTGGTTCTCACTCTCTCCAGCACTCTACCTGTTCCGTATGTCTGTCTCTCTCTGGATCTCTGTCTCTCCCTCTGGGTCTCACTCCAAGATCCCCTCTCTAGGTCTCTTTATTTTGTCTCTCACTCTGTGACTGTCCCGTCTCTTTTGTCTGTTTTCTTGTCTGTCTCCTGCTCTTTTCACCCACCCCCAGACTTGCCCACACCGTGTCCCCCTTCCCCTCCTGTCTATCCCAAGCTCCACCCTCTTTGCCTCTCACTTGGGTCTTTCTCCCCCTTCTCCCACCCCTCCTGGTGGTGCAGCCCAGCAACGCAGAGGTTCTAGACACCTGGGACAGTGTCAACGAGCAGCTGGGGGGCTGCCACCCCTGTCAACCCCACTCTGTAAAGGGCAGATAAGACCCAACGCCGGGCTGGGGCTGCCTTCCCCTGGGGCCTGCCCTCTGACCCCAGGCAGCCCCCTCCACCATGCCTGAGTCCCACATTGGCCTCAGTCCAGCCCTACAGCTGGCTGAGGAACCCATAGCCTCCTCCCTGCCCCCAGCCTGAGTCCCAGTGGTTTGGGGTCTAAGGAGAGGAGGGTGGCCCGCTCTCATCTCTGTCCTCATCCCACAGCAGTAACTCTGGGAAGGCCAGAGCAGCCAGTGCAGACTCCTTGCACTGACCTGCTCCTGAGTGATGCGGTAGGACAGAGACCCCAGTTCAGCCCCCAGCGGGGCTCAGCTGCCCGCCTGCCATTGCCCACGGGTATGCCTCGGCCTGGGGGTACAAATATTCTCATTGGGGTGTGTCCGCTCGCGCACCCATGCAGCGTACTGCACACACGTGCTCCAGTGCATTGCTCTGTGGGGTGGGGGTCACCTGCGGACCCCTGTGTGGGTGCCTCTCCCCGCAGGGGTGTTCCTGGAAAGTGAGTCTAGCATGTGCCTGTGAGCCAGCGGAAGGGACGGTGGTCCTGCTTCTCTCCTTGACTTGTCCTTGTGGCCGCCCCCTGGGCTCCCCTCCCCCTCACCAGCTGCCAGCAGTCCCAGCCAGGGGCCGCCGCCCCGCCCCCCCAGTCTGTCCCAGCTCCCAAGCACTGCTGTGTTCGCCATATTTGGCCACAGTGCTCCTGCGGGGGGCGGGGCGGGGCTGACATCACCCCGAGAAGGGGGGGCCACTCCCTGGATGAGGGGAGGCGGGCACAGACTTGGGGGAGGCAAGAAAGTTGCTTTGAAAAGTCTGGGGCTGCCAGGGCCCCCCATGCGCCGGGCCCCTGCTGCTCTGAGGGAGGCCTCAGGAAAAGATTTGGGGGGAAATGGATTGAGGACTCTGTTGGGAGGGGTCTTAGCTCATTGTAGTCCCTCTTCTGCCTCCCCTCTAACGCCGCCTGTGGCACTGTCAGACTTGGGGCACTGGGATGGGGCGGTGGCTTGCCTCCCAGCTAGCTCAGTATAGGCGCCGCTGTGTCCCCCGGCATCCCACCCCTCCCCCTCACTCTTATTACAAGAACTTGCCCTCAAGGGGTTGAGGAGGGGATGGGGATGAGAATACAGCTTGCCGGAGTGAGCAGAGGGGTGTGGCCCCTCTGACCCATCAGGAGCATGGCTTCCTCTCTCCCTGGCTGCCCTCTGGTGTGGTGGTCTTGGAGGCCTCACAGGAAGGGTTACAGCGGTCTGGGGGTCCTTGAAGTTGCTCCAGCCACCTGTGCTGGGGTGGACCCTGTGGTCTGGACCCCACTGGGCATTCTCAGGTGGTTGCCATGACAACCCATGACAACCCATGCTGGGCCTCCTTTCCCTCTGCAGATGGTGGGGCTTCTTACCTTGGTTAAGAGACTGAAGCTAGATTGCCTGTGTTCAGAACCCAGCTCTAGCACTTACCAGCTGTGTGTCCTTGGGCAAATTGCTTAACCCCTCTGTTCTTTGGTTTCCTCATCTGTAAAGTAGAAGCAATAATAGTATCTACCTCATAGGTGATTGGGAGGATTAAATGAGTCAATGTGTATAAAGTCCCAGACTAGGGCCTGCCGTATGCAGGTGCTGTCATTCGTAGTAGAGTTAAATGTAAACTCTATATCCATCTGACATTCAGGCCCCCAGGCCCTCCCCATCCCATGCCACTAGCAACTGCCTTCAAGCCCTCCAAAGCAAAGAGATGGCCCCCACAGGGAAAATCCCCACCCACTTGACAAGACCTGGAATTCTTGTTTGAGGGGAAAGAAGTCTCTTCCCCAGCTTCTGATGGGGTCTCCCACTCTCCACCCTGCGCCCCCCTTTCCCTACAGCCCAGAGCAAAGTCCTGGGGTCTAGCCATCTGGGGCTCTGGGGCTCCCAGGACCCTGATACACCTTGGACATGTGGTTCTGAGGCTGAAGGGAGCCGGGGGGTGAGCCTTAGAGCTGTGTATGTTGGGGGACTGTCTGGGTGTGATCTGCTTTAATAACCCAGCCTGGAGTGTGCAGGGAACTCAGAGTTTACAGAGCCCTGGCCCATCCACGATGTGGGCCAGGGCAGGGGCCAGCGTGTGGGTGGTTTATGGGCTGCTGTGGGGCCGGGAGGTGCAGGAACAGGAAGTAGGATGGAGGAGTGGGTGGGGTTGAGCAAGGCTGTCGGCCAGGCACCTTCTCAGCTGCTCCCTTACCAGCCAGTGTTGCTCCCGTCTCATGATTCCTGGGGCAGTTCCTGCCCTGAGTTTAGGTTCCTTGGCAGGGTTCTCATGAGTAATCTTTTGGGGAAGGCAAAACTGTACCCTTCCTGGGTCTGGGACCCTCCTCAGGCCACAGCGGGTCCTTGGCAGGATTGCACTGATGCTGGGGGGGAGAATGAGGGGTGGGGGTCCCTGGTTGGGGATCCAGATGACAAGGAGGAGGAGCTGGCAGAGCGAGAGCCAAGGAGCCCCTCTGAGAGCCGTAGAAGCACTGGGCCCTGCCCCTCGTGGTCCTCCTCTCTGCCCATCATGGTGCCTTTGGCAGCTGCATGGCCTTGTGAGCCTGTTTGCCTCATCTGAATAATGGGCACCACTCCTTGCCCTCCCTGCCTTAGTTTTGAGGACTGAACAAATATGAAAGTACTTTTTCCCCACAAAAGTACTGTGTAGGTATAAGGCATTGTTACTGTTGCTGTTGATCACCACCAGGCATCATGGTTGGCACTTTGTCTGATCTCATTTCATTTTAACCCTCACAACCTCAAAGGAGACCTTTCCTTCGTTTTACAGGACTGAGGCTCAGAGAGGTGAAGTAACTCATCCAAGGTCACACAGCACTGACTAAACATAACCTCTGGTTGCCTCCACCCAACCCTGGAGCACCTGCCCCAGGGGTGGAGATTGCTGTGGTCTGGGAGGACCCTGCCCTAACCCCTCTGCGTCTGCCCCCCAGGCTCAGGCTGCCCAGTGGGCTCAGGCCCAGAGCCCAGAGCAACCAGCACAATAGCGTCCAACAGCTGGAATGCCAGCAGCAGCCCCGGGGAGGCCCGGGAGGATGGGCCCGAGGGCCTGGACAAGGGGCTGGACAACGATGCGGAGGGCGTGTGGAGCCCGGACATCGAGCAGAGCTTCCAGGAGGCCCTGGCCATCTACCCACCCTGCGGCCGTCGCAAGATCATCCTGTCGGACGAGGGCAAGATGTACGGTGCGTGTGGGGAGGCACAGGGACCCTGGACTGGACTTGGGGAGGCGGTCCAGCCCTCCTCACCCCTCCCTCTGCTCTCTGCCCCCTCACCCAACCGGTTTGGCGAAGTCCCGGAGGCCGCCAGCCCTCTGAGGGCGGGCGGGTCTGGGCGTGCAAGCCTGTGTGTCTGGATCCTCCTCATAAACAGGCCAGGTTTGCCCCCTCCACCTGAGCGCAGCCCACACGCCACACCACCCCCGCCCCCCCCCACTGCCCCTCCTCTCCTCGCCCCGGCCAGCCTGGAGGTTTCGGGGTGACTCAGTGGGCCCGGGAAACTGGGTCAATCCGGTGTGTTCCAGGCTGGGCCCAGGAGAGGGTCCCTCTCCTGGGAGGACGTGGGGGAGCCCGAGGGGTGAGACCTGGGGTGGGATCCCAGCAGAGAACAGTGTTTCCCACTGGCGAGTTCCCTCCAGAGAACAGGAGGCGTGGAGAGGGGGCTGCTTCCCACTGCAGGGAGGCCCACAGTGTGACAGGGCTTGCGTGGGGAAGGGCGCTGGAGAGACAAGGGGACTCCCTCACTCCTCACACCCCCTCCCAAGTCTGCTGCTCTCCTGGCCCCTCTCTTTGCCACCTTGCCCACCTCCTGCCTCCAGAAGGGAGCATCCACCCTGGTCCAGCCCTGAGAGGGCTCTCCCAGGGCTGCATTTTTGGGATAACTCAACCCTTTGGGGCCTGACTCCTTGCCAGCTCCCTCCAACCTGCCCCGACAGCCTATGGCTGGGTGAGGCAGGCCCTCAGCCTGTCCCCTCCCAGTGTCCAGCACCGGCTGGGCTGCCCCGTGTCCCCTGCCCCACAACCGTGCCACGCCCACCCCCAGCCCCAGAGCCCCACTCACGGGGCAGGCAGATGTTCCAGGGCGCCTTCCATAGGGCGGGGGCCGCCTGCCCCCACTGCTCCCTCCCAGACTGCTGGGGCAGCCCCACAGGGTATTTTTAGACAGGGCGGAGGGAGTGGGGTGGAGAGGGGCAGGCAGGAAGGGAGGAGCTGTGGGGCCAGTTCCGTCATGGAAGAGGAATCTGGAGAATGCGGTCCTTCTGGGGAGGCTATGGGGTTGGGGGGCAGGGGGCCTGAATTTGGGGGTAAGAAGCCTATGCGCTGAGGATGCTGACACATGCTTCACTGTGCGTCCCAAGCACCCCCTTTAAAGGGCCAAGCCCCCTGGATGCTGGCCAGCCTCTGGGCCCCCAGAGGGTCCCTGGTGCTGAGCAGAGCCCCCCACCCCAAGTCTGATGGGCTGCACTCTCTCACAGGGAGGGACAGACACTGGTAACCAGTGACATGGGGGTGACAGGTTCAAGGACACAGTGACATGCTCAGTGACACATCTTGACCCAGGCTGTCAGTGTAGGAGACGTGTTGGAGACCATCTGGTCCTTCCTGCCTGTTTCACCAGAGAAGGGCAGGGACTTGTCCAGGGTCTCCTGGTGGCAAGGACAGCTAGGACAGGAACCCAGGCCAGAGTTCTTACAGACACACACAGGTATGCATGCCCAGACATCTCTCTCTCTCTTTCTTGCTCTCTTTCTCTCTCTCTCTCTCTCTCTCTCTCTCTCTCTCTCTCTCTCTCTCT